AAAGTCTTGGCTTCCCTAAAAAAAAACCCAAATGGGTTAGAAAGTAGTACAGTATTATAGCAGTCCATTACGCTTTTGAGCCCAAAAATCCTCAGTTTCAGTCAATTTGCTTTAACCAAATGGATTTCGGTTCATTCAAAACTGAAACCAGAACCGGTTTTGCACAGCCTGACTAGTGGCCATCATCATCGTCACCCTTGACACTTTCGCCCGCCGTCTCCCCGCGTCCTCGTCCCACTCGAGACGGCACAGTGGGAGATGGAGAAACAAGCATTGACCTGACCCGCCCCCGGCTCCCCCGCCGTCACATCACCATCGCCCCGCTAGTCTCCACGCGGGCGCACTGCCGGCCGGCGTCGCACGCACTCGTGTCGTGTCCCTTCTCCTTCTTTTCCCCCGGCCGGCCGGCCCCTCGGCCCCGGGCCGAACGAACGTACGCCGCGAGATGCCGCGCAAAGGCCCCGGCATCTCCCTGCGCGCCCGCCGCTGGGGCGGGCTGCCCTCCGGGTTTCCCGCCGCCGGTCGCCCGGTCCTCCCGTGATGACGACGGTGGTGCGCGCTCCGCTTTCCCCCACCCCTGGCGCGCTTTTTGTCCGCGGCCTCGCCCTACAGATCTCGACACGACAATTTTCCTGCTCATCATGTCGTGCGTAACAGTGTCGCTAGGGGAGCAGGGCAAGGGACGGGCCTTTTCGCGCGGACTCCGGGCGCCGGCGGACCCGGGCGGGCGATCGTGGAGCCGGTGATCGCGCCCAGTGGCACGGTGCCGTCGCGTCAGGGCACCTACCAGTAGCTCTCTCTCTCTCTGACGTAGGTGTGCGCTGCTCTCTCCGGCTCTAGGCCACGCAGGCTCCGTCGTCAATGCCCGGCGCTCCGGCACAGAGCACGCGAGCGTGTGCAGGTGCGACGCCGTGCACTGAACGATCGACTGGCCTGTCACTCGTGGTGGCCGGGGGGATCAAAATCGTGGTGGTTTCTCGGCCAAAACGGGCGTAGAAACCGAAACCATGCGTCCGTGCCTGAGAGGACTTTCCGCTCTGAACCTGTCAATGGTCTCGGCACGGCAGCGCACGCGTTTCCCTCGTCCTCCTACCAAACATTGTTGAAACGACAGCCCCAACAGTCGCACTCCCGTTTCCACGGACCCCAGTAGTCACTGTTAAGTGGCGCTGTCATGTACCCAAAAGCCAGCCAACAGCGGCCGACGTGCTGTAGTTAATTGAGTGGGCAAAGGTGAACTGTATCCAAGGTGTACGGCCTTCTTTGGTTCATAGGATAGGAATTTTATAGAAATAGAAAAATTATAAAAAGTGAGATGACATGCATGTCAATTCCTATAGAAAAAGAGATGTCATTTGGTGCATAGGATAGTATTTTTTCCATTGAGTCTAGGCTAATGTTTTTTTTCCTTCAAAACGTGAAGGATTGATTCCTATCCTACATAGGAATAGGAATCCATTCCTACAAACCAAAGGGCTTCAAATAAATTTTTTCTTTGCAAATCCTATCCTATAGAATTTCTACAAAAATCCTACAAACCAAAGGAGGCCTAAAGTGTAATAAACCCATAAATATACAGGTCATTTCATCATTTGTAGTATGAAATATTGCAGTACTTTGCATCTGAGACACTGGTCCTAAGAATTATGCATAGTCTGGCAAAATGTTTGGAGAGCTGTAATATTGAGCGAATTCCATTGTAGTAGTAATATTTTTTTAGTTTATAATTATATATTGTCTATGCAAGAGTTGACGGACCACGGTTCGGTTACAGAAACCACGAAATTCCGGTCTAGGAAACGATTAGCACCATGATGATGGTCACTTTCGGGAGCATGCAGCTGTCAACGAAGTGTGTTTAGGACCATAGTTCCTCTGACTGAGAGAGTGTTTGTTTCCAGAGACTTATTGGTTTAGGGACTTAAAAAAGTCTCTATAAGTCTCATTTAAACCAAACAGAAGAGACTTATAGGGACTTAAAGTGAACATTTGGGACTTATGAAATAAGACTCTCAAGGAGGGACTTATAGGTACTTATAGTTATAATATGGTCTTATACAGAGACTTATAAGTCTCAGGAACCAAACAGACAGGGACTTTTTAGAGACTTGAGACTTATAAATTGGGACTAAAAAAAGTCCTAGGATTTATGAACCAAACAGGGCTTGACACAAATCTTCTCACCTCGTGTTCTTACGGGGGTCAAACTATACAATAGAAAAAGGCTTGTGCGGCGAAAGAATAACGTAAAAGGACCGTCGGATTAGAGATACGTAGCTCAGATTGTTCTTTAAGTTCTACAACTTGTGGGTGTAAATTTACAACTCGCATCCCTGCCCTGCATATCCATTGGATTATTTAACAAAAAATATCACATATCAGACTACGGTTCCACGGAACTACCACTTTCAAAACATTGACAACAAAAAATACCAAAAGAAGGAAGCTGTTTTTTTGGCAAAAAAATAACTACCAGTTGTGTTTGATGGCTGTTTTAGACGATATTATGACAGTTTGTTGGACATGTCAGGCTGACCCTTATGACAGGGGGCCTCACATGTCAGCAGTAACAATCCTTGTGATGATTAACTACTGCTGCTCTGTAAGCTAATCCCCGTACGTTATGTAGAGCGGTAGAGATGATGTCCGTTGCCTTTAAAACGCCACCAAAGGCATTGCGCCGCACCACATGTCCACATGGACCACCACCAGCACTGTTAGGGCATGTACAATGATGGCATATGGTTACATATGTCTTATAACAAAAAGTAATTTGAGACACTTATATTTATTTTTCTCCCCAATGCAAGCTACCATTAGTGGATCTTATTAAGAAATAGAAAATAAAAACTCTAGCACACATGCATCTTTACTTTTTACTCCAACCTTTTTAGATTTTGTCACTGGATCACATTTTTTCTCTTCAAGCACCCGCCTCCTGAAAAGTATCTCGCTTCTCTATCCGAACCTACTTTACGTCATATTCAATCCTACATGACGGCGAGGGATCACCTTGAAGCTATGCATTGTACATGCCCTTATTTACGTGGGCTCGTTCACAGTGCAACGGACGGGTCGGCACGTCGTTGCCCGGCTGGTCGCCGGCACGGCAGTACTACTCCCACCGCCGAGTTTTTCTACGCTCCGTTTCACGTTTCTCCGGTACGAAATTCAAACCAGCGAACCACCCGCCCGTTCAGCGCGCAATCAATGGCAGAGCCGTTGCTGATCCGTTTCGAAATTATTGGCTCCGGCAGTCACAGACTTCACTGTTTGCTGTTCGGATTTCGGTTTCAAATTTCCACGTTTTGTTTTACAAATATAAACCTGCCTTTGCAAGCAAGTTCTAGGAGATCCACGGCCGAAACCACTCTGGCTGCTCCTTCTTCTTTTGTGGCGAATGAAAGGAGGCTTTACTTAAAAATTATGGGGCTACCGATCATGAAGCAAAAGAGTTTCGATGCATTGGGGATCCTTTGGTCGAGCCACACTATAATTCGCTAATCGATCTGCAACTCCATTTTGCCGTAGCTTCTGAGGAACAAACTCCCTAACACAAAGCGATAGTTGGATTTATATGACGTACACTCCGGCATGTAGGGAATGCGGATTGCTGGACACGACGTTATCGTGAGACCGGCATTTTTGTAGACATGTGTTAGCTTCCCTTGTGATGCTTGTACCGTGGGAGATTTGAAAAGAAAGAAGCATGAGGGTGTTTCGAAACACTCAACCCTTCTTATAATAACTGGCGAACAAGATTAAGGAAGAAGTTATCTAATACCAGGATAACGGTGGCAAAATTTCATCTAGCAGATAACTGGCGCGAAAATTTGTACCTATTTTATGCCGTAAGAGTAGGCTTTTATCCGGCCTCGCGTCTACGGGACTTAGCAACAACTTGTACTAAAGGGTCGTGCCGCAACGCGTGTTGTGTTACACACGCCGCCCAACTTCATCAGCTCGGTACACTAGACGCGCATCACCGCGTGACGATTGAACGTCACATGGCTACATCACGCACTTGGACATGTGTAACTGCGATTCACATGTCTTCTGAAACACTGCAAGCCTCCCTACAATAATTTCGAAACAATGATAAGGAAGGAGTTGTTTAATACAGGGATAACATGCATGTAAGTTCGTTAGGGGGGTAACTTAATCCCATAAGTGTAGGCTTTTATCCGACTACGCCCTCGGTTGCGCTGCAGCGCGACGGCTCATCCATATGACACCCGTTTTCGCTGCACACGTCATCTTTCATGGCATCGACAGACCAGATGCGCATCGATCTGTGAGACGCGGTATAGTAAAATTCTAAAAAATATTGTTCTTATAATTAATAAAAATGGGAAGGTTTTTTCTGAAAAATAAGACTCAAAAATAAGAATTGACACTTCCTAAAAAAACATAAGATTTGATACTAGCTTGAGTTCTTAGTCGGCACATGGCCGGGCGTGCATAGCTCATACCTGACGCATGTCGAGCTGAATTCCAAATAAGTAGTAACTGTTTGACCAAGGTTTTTATCCGTATCATATTACCAGCAGCAGCCCGAACGGCCCGTGCAAAAGATGTGCAATGGCAGTGTGCATTCGCAGGAAGGCGATGGAAGCCACCTTGACCGCGACCGGCGAGGTCAGGTCAGCAGTCACCGGCGACGTCAGTTTCCCGCACATACCGCGGCGGCGGCTGCCCGCGCTCCCGCCAGTTGGATGCTTCCCGGAGGCCGCCGGCGCACGTCGCGGCCGAGCCGAGAAAGAAGGCCCCCGCATCGCCATCCAAACGGCCCAGTCAAACCCACACCGCGCGACCCAAGAGCCCAACCACACTAGTTGACAAAGTCCACCTCCCGTCAGCTAGCCCCCCTTCAAATACCGTGCCACCACAGGCGACCTCCTCCATTGCTTCTCTTCATCCTCTCTCCGTTCTTGAGTGTCGTCAGCCATCGCCGCCGGGAAACGGGGATCAGTTTGTTGTTGGGACTTGAGACGGGAAGGATGTCTTCATCGCCTCCGGCGCCGACGGTGGCGGACGCGGCGGCGGCGGGCGCGCCGGCGTCGCAGCTGGCCATCAGCAACGGGGTGCTGCTGGCGGCGGTGATATTCCTCTTCATGGTCGTCGTCTTCGTCTTCCTCCTCTACCTCTACGCCAAGCGCTTCCTGGGGGCCAACCCCATGCTCAACGGCGCCGGCGCCACCTCCTCGCGCTTCATCTTCGTCGGCGACTCCCCGTTCCCGCGCCGCGGCCTGCCGGCCTCCGTGCTCCGGAGCCTCCCCGTGGCCGTCTACGGCGGCGGCGCCTCGCCCAAGACGCCCGGCGGCAGCGGGAGGAGGAAGAACGGCGAGGCGCTCGAGTGCGCCGTGTGCCTCTCGGAGGTGGCCGACGGCGAGAAGGTGCGGACGCTGCCCAAGTGCGGCCACCGCTTCCACGTCGACTGCATCGACATGTGGTTCCACTCCCACGACACCTGCCCGCTCTGCCGCGCCCCCGTCGGCGCCGACGCCGAGTCCGCCGCGGAGGGGCTCCCCCGCGTGCCGCGCGAGGACCACGCCGCGCCGGAGTTCCCCATGTTCCCCACCAACGTCCTGTTCTGGGGCACCCACGATGACGTCGCCAACGGCGGCCTCGGGGGGATGCCGCCGGCGCCAGCCCCGGCGCCCACGATCGCCGCCGCCTCCACCAGCTCCTCGGCCTCCGGGCGCAGGAAGGAGAACCTGGTGATCGACATCCCGACCCGGGCGATGGCGGTGAGCGCGGCGTCGTCGTCCCCCGCGACGCCGCTGCCGGCGAGCGACCTGCGGTCCCCGATGTCCGCCCGGCTCCGCTCGCTGCGCCGGCTCCTGAGCAGGGGCAAGCAGGCCGTGGTGGGCGCGTCCTCCTCCAGCCCGCGCGGCGGCGGCAGCGACGTCGAGCAGGGCCTCGCCGGGCGCCCGCCGAAGACACCCAAGACACCTCCGGCGACGAACTGATCCGGAAACTACATAGCTCTCTGACGCATTGGCTCGCGTCGCCGATCACCGGAGGGTCTATACATACATGTGTTCATTCTTTCCTTGATTTCTTCTTCTTTCACTCTCTTTTCGCCAAGGATTTTGGCCAGGAATTCTGATGTAAACAAAAAGATGTTTGGCATTGGTGTCACTGATTGGTTATTGATGTCGATGGATCATTGATGAAACTGATAAGCTCTGTTCATACTAGATTGATTAGATTAGATTGTGTTTCAGTTGAACTCTGCTTCTTCAGGCCGTTGCCGCATGCACCAGCTGCAAATAAAAGTCACCTCGTGCCACTGACCAACTGTTCTTATGATTAGATAAGATATTACGACCGAGTTAAGTAGCTCTGCAGCTGGAGGGAGACAATGCGATCCCAGAAGTCCTGAACCACATGAGCAAAAGGAGAAAAGGAGGAGCAAAGCAAGGAAGGGCACACCAAATGCGCCTGCGCCGAACTGACAAAGGCCGGCCTATCTTGTTCGAAAACAAACGAGAAATTCAACCGCGGATTGACCGGAACACCAGGTGTGCAAGCGACAACCTCCGCGCTTTCTCGGCAAAGAGTTGGTTTCTGCTGACAGACAGACAAGAACCCAAACCTCTTTCCGCAATGCCGCGTGAGGAAAGCAACTAAACTCGCCGCTGCAGCTGCCGTCAGTAGCTTCAAGTTTGAAGCATCGCCTCTTCTCATTAGGGCCTTGGACTATACTATCAGGGTTTGTATAGGGCACATCTAGATATGCTTATTACACATCTAAGTGAGTGAATCAAGCATAAAGAAAAAAAAAGAAAAAAAAATATCCACACGAATCTTAACATAAGATCAATGATACTCTCTCCGTAAACTAATATAAAAGTGTTTAGAATACTAAAATAGTGATCTAAACGCTCTTATATTAGTTTACAGAGGGAGTATAAGATTTAAATGTGCAATACTTATGGCATATCTAGATGTGCTTTAGCAAAACTGATACTATTATTCCATTGCTGGTTTCCAAGCTTCCAACACTGGCAAAGGAAAAAAGTTAGTTACTCGTTTGTCGTTTCGAAGAAATTCTTGTTCTTTACCCGTTTGGTTCAGCTTCGCCGGTCGAACACGGCACGGCGCCCCGTGTGTTGACGCTGGGGACGCGCAGCGGTAACAAACTTTGACTTCACTTAATCAAATCACATGCGTCCGGCTTGTGTTTTTACTTGTTTATGAACATCTTCTTTCTCTAAGACAAGTTGCGCTTGGGGATGGATGAGGTACATGCATGCATTACTGCCCAGCACGCCTCTTTCCGGGCAACCAGCACATACTATATCCTGTTTTCACTTGTTATTCTCTTCATTTTTTATTCAAGTTGCACAAACTTGTCTTCGAAGTAGCAGTGCACATCCAGGCATTATTGCTCTGCATTTCCCGGCAAGGAGAGCGCCCAGTGTAGGAGTATCAATTAAACCTGTGTTATAAATCTACATCGTCATTGTATATGCAGTTTTAATGTACTCGGAATGATCGTGTGGTTAAGTCGTGCGATCCAATCTCTTGGAATGATTAGGGGCGCGATTAGTCGTATCGCGCGCAGCCATCGTGGATTCGTGGTATCTCATCATCCCATGGAAAAGGTCAGGGTACGTGCTCGCGCGGCTGAATCCCGATCGTGAATCCCGATCCTGAACAGGGGTGGGGTTAGGTCCGGCACCACTTTCCGAAGCTTCCTTGCCGTTTCTACGTGCGTGCGTGCTTGCTTACTCTCTCCTGTCTACGTAGTCCTCTCCCTCGACCTTGATCGATCCCCAAGTGGATAACCTAGGTATGAGCCGCGTATAATACGTACTGGAGTTCTCCTATTAAGTAACCGGATTGACATCCGATACATACATTTTGCCACGTTGGCTATGATTAGCTGCCGATGATTAGTTTGGGTTGGCCAAGACGCGAGAGAATCTGGAAGGCTAGGGGGCAGCCGGTCCGAGTTGCCGGCACGACAATGTGCGGGAGGATGAGAGCAGAGCAGAGGGGCCGGGTCATGGCACCACGTCGTGTGGAGGAGTTTCGTGCGGTGCGGGCGTATGTGGCCTGCGCGAGCTACCTACCTTTGCCCCTACCTACGTGGTCTGGGTGCAGCGGTAGTGTGTGGCACACTACTGTTTCTCTTTCTCATAACTCAGCATACACCCTATCTCTATGAGCATCTTCAAAAGACTGAGCCGCCATATCATCTTGAAATTTACGAAGTTGCTGTAGGCACCTCGTCATCGATGGGAACGTCTGCTCCCACTGAATGCGCATCGCCGAAAATCCTGAAATAAATTCATAAATAAATGCGAGCATCAGGATTTGAACCCTGATGGGCTAGGGATAGCACAGTCCATCTAACCATCCAACCACAGATTAGTTCGCTCCCGGGCTGACTCTCTCTCGCTCTAACAAAAATGATCACTGATATCATCAGGGGCACGCATGGAATGTATGGCCCCATCATCACCGAGATTAGAGAGAGCGCAGTGGGCTTCATCTGCAAGTTCATTTTTGAAGCGAAACTACTCAACCCCACCCTCCTTTAAAAAAACGACTCTTACTCACGCGATATGTAGGCAACAAGTAATCAAACGATTCTGCTGCACCTTGACCTTGTCATGGACGGTTTGATCATCCATGTCGTCCAACATACGGCCAGCGACTGCCGTCTGCCTAACATCATTGTTTTTGAAGGTCGAGCGGCAAATTATGACGCTGATAGTCTAGCTAGATCTCATTCTTTCGATCAAGGAGGAACACTTGTGGTTGATCCAACGCCATGATACATTTTGTGTCCCGCTACATGCGGAGCTTGAGCAATAAAGTCTAGCTTTACCCGTAAAAAATTCCGCCACTTACACCCAAAGGATCTCCTATGTGCAGCTCGCCAGATCTCGCCCTGCGCGCGTAACGCGAGGAAGCAGGGCCGGGGCCTGGAGATGATGGTGCAGTCTAGCTGCGCCATGGGCCATGTGTTGTGCTCCCGGGCTGACTCTTATGGCCCCATCATCACCGAGATTACAGAGAGCGCAGTGGGCTTCAACTGCAAGTTCATTTTTGAAGCGAAACTACTCAACACACGGCTCTCAACCCCCCCTCCTGTGACGCCCCCGATTCAATCGTACACTAATCATGCACGCAAATGTGTACGATCAAGATCAGGGACTCACGGGAAGATATCACAACACAACTCTACATATAAAATAAGTCATACAAGCATCATAATACAAGCCAGGGGCCTCGAGGGCTCGAATACAAGTGCTCGATCATAGACGAGTCAGCGGAAGCAACAATATCTGAGTACAGACATAAGTTAAACAAGTTTGCCTTAAGAAGGCTAGCACAAAATGGGATACAGATCGAAAGAGGCGCAGGCCTCCTGCCTGGGATCCTCCTAAACTACTCCTGGTCGTCGTCGTCAGCCTGCACGTAGTAGTAGGCACCTCCGGTGTAGTAGGAGTCGTCGCCGACGGTGGCGTCTGGCTCCAGGGCTCCAGCATCTGGTTGCGACAACCAGGTAGAAGGGAAAGGGGGAAAAGAGGGAGAAAAGCAACCGTGAGTACTCATCCAAAGTACTCGCAAGCAAGGAGCTACACTACATATGCATGGGTATATGTGTAAAGAGGCCATATCAGTGGACTGAACTGCAGAATGCCAGAATAAGAGGGGGACAGCTAATCATGTCGAAGACTACGCTTCTGGCAGCCTCCATCTTGCAGCATGTAGAAGAGAGTAGATTGAAGTCCTCCAAGTAGTATCTCCAAGTAGCATCTCCAGGTAGCATCTCCAGTCGCATCTCCAGTCGCATCGCATAGCATAATCCTACCCAGCGATCCTCTCCTCGTCGCCCTGCGGAAAAGCGATCACCGGGTTGTCTGTGGAACTTGGAAGGGTGTGTTTTATTAAGTATCCGGTTCTAGTTGTCATAAGGTCAAGGTACAACTCCAAGTCGTCCTGTTACCGAAGATCACGGCTATTCGAATAGATTAACTTCCCTGCAGGGGTGCACCACATAACCCAACACGCTTGATCCCATTTGGCCGGACACACTTTCCTGGGTCATGCCCGGCCTCGGAAGATCAACACGTCGCAGCCCCACCTAGGCAAAACAGAGAGGCCAGCACGCCGGTCTAAACCTAAGCGCGCAGGGGTCTGGGCCCATCGCCCTGAGCACACCTGCACGTTGCGTGGGCGGCTGAAAGCAGACCTAGCCTAGTGGCGTTCCAGTCCAATTCGGCGCGCGCCGCTCCGTCGCTGACGTCTGAAGTGCTTCGGCTGATACCACGACGTCGGGATACCCATAACTACTCCCACGTAGATGGTTAGTGCGTATAGGCTCGTAGCCAGACTCAGATCAAATACCAAGATCTCGTTAAGCGTGTTAAGTATCCGCGAATGCTGAACAAGGCCAGGCCCACCTGTCTCCTAGGTGGTCTCAACCTGCCCTGTCGCTCCGCCACAAAGTAACAGTCGGGGGCCGTCGGGAACTCAGGCCCACCTCTACCTGGATGGAGCCACCTGCCCCTTCAGCCCCCATCTCCAAACAGTATCACCAGTAATGTAACAGTGTAAAGTATATAGTATATGCCCGTGATCACCTCCCAAGTGATCACGGCCCGATAGTATAGCAAGGCAGACTGACAAGAATGTAGGGCCAATGATGATAAACTAGCATCCTATACTAAGCATATAGGATTGCAGGTAAGGTATCAACAGATGTAGCGACAATGTCAGGCTATGCATCAGAATAGGATTAACGAAAGCAGTAACATGCTACACTACTCTAATGCAAGCAGTATAGAGTAGAATAGGCGATATCTGGTGATCAAGGGGGGGGGGGCTTGCCTGGTTGCTCAGACAAGGAGGGGTCGTCGGTGACGTAGTCGTACTCGGTGGCATCAGCGTCGGTCTCGTAGTCTACCGGAGATAAGAGGGGGAAGAAACAATGAATACAATGCAAACA